ACCCCAGAGTCCAGACCTCAACCACATTGAATGTGTTTGAGATTACTTAGAAGGCAAGAAGCAGAAAATGTGACAAACTTCTAAGACTGAACTTTGGAGTCTACTAAAATGAACAGAAGATGTACTGTATGTTGAAGCGATATGTTGGACATATTAAATACTGAAATGTTTGATATTATATTTACTTGCTAAGGCTGCTGTTTCATTGATAAATAGGCCTTTCCACTTTTTTCCAGGCACTAACTTGTACTTTCACGCAAATTAAATGAAAAAAAAGGTGGTCTCTGACTTTTATATACAGCATCCATTGCTGCAACACTGTCTTTTAGGCTTGTAAACACTATACACAAGGCCAGGCACATGCTCACACGCTCACACAAACAAATTGACAGAGTCTAGTCTGTTTGAAAGCTTCCGGCTGACTGCCTCTTTTGAGCTCCCCTTATATCCCCTCCCGACTTCCTGTAGCTCTGGACAACATGTTCACACACACAATCTCTCTCTGTGCTCCTCCTTTAGTTTTTGGGTCGATTTGCCCTGTAGGCCAGCAGGCAGAGGACGCTGATGTGGAATGAAAGAATGACCCAGTGCGGCTCGTTCATGTGCTCGTCCAGATGACCCTTATCCAGCCAGAACAGAGCGCTCCTCGTACACATACACATACTCTCTCTGAGACATCCTTGAATGCCCTCTCTCTCTCTCTTACGCAGACATATTGTGGCCCGGAGAAAACCTCAGCATGCTTGTTGTCTTTAAACTCTACAAGTGTTGTAGTAATATTTATTTCATTGCCATGCTAGGTAGCTAGTTAGCTTAACTACCAACATAATTAGGAAGTGACAGCAGAATCAGCCAATCATATTCTGACTTACAACTGGTGGGACTACTTTCAAAAAACAGGTTTCAGGTAGTTGTTAGGAATGGAAAACAGCAGCTGCAGCTCTATGCTAGGATTTTTTACTGAACGAGTCACTTAATAACTGATACATACAAGCTCAAATATATGTTAATGTCTTTTGTATGCTTCAAATGTTCTTGTGCACCAGCTTTAGTTTAGTGCTAACACATTGGAGATCCCATAGGGGTGCTAGCAGAAATGAGCATTATTGTGGTGCACCACTGATGGTTCAGAACTGAGTTACTGAGAGTAACTGCTACATACAAGGCAAAATATAAGTTAACCCCTTAAAATCTCAGGCTTATTTCATACTAAGGTTAAACATTCAACTCATCCTTCTCATGGACATATTAGATGTAGTTATCGTCCAACACCCACTTTGGCTAATCAGGACTTTATTAAGTTAAATTAAATGTGCTGTGGATGGAAGCTGACAAATCCATGTGATAGCTGCGTGCATCAAAGAGAAATCTGGAACCAAACTGTGTTCTTCACACTGGCTAATAAGATCGGAATATTTGTCTGACCTCAACAGAACCCAACTATTCAGTCAAGTTTAGACATATTTTCCCTTTGCTTTCAGTTCAAATTTAATATTCCAGTTCGTCAGCCAAGATTGGCTGCAATTTACCGTATTTATGTTTTATTTTTCTTCGTCCTGAATTTTTTACCATTTACAGGTTTTAATCTGGCACAGTGGAGTCATGTTGTGGTGGAACACAAGTCCAGCATTAGAGAAACAAACTGTTATGTAGTTTTTCCAGATTAAACTTCTAGGATGTTCTTAGAAGGTGAAGATGCTGACCATCTGTTACAATCTTCCAATATAACATATGTAATGTCTTTTACATTTTTCAATTGTCTATGTTTAATTGAGAGTAGCCAAAAAAAAAATGTTAGCCAAAAAGTTTTTGACCAAACCTCTCCTACAGCTGGTTTTGAGGGTCAAAACTAGCCCAAAACTAAAATGCATTAAGAACTCTATAAAACATGAGTTATGTTAATGTGCACCCTCGTTAGCTTACAGCTAACACACCATTACAAATCCCATAAGAGCCATAGCAAAAAAAATTGCATTTTAATGGTGTTACTTTTTATGTTTTTAAGACTGAGTTGTGATAATTTGGGCCCGATCTGAAGGCTTAGCCCTAATATTCATGGTTTGCCGCTGCTTTACACACAAACCAAAACACCCAGTGGCTCTTAATTGACCCGTGCACTGTCTCGTTTGAGGAGAGATGAGTGTAATTATGCATCCCGAAATACAGAGGCTTTGAGCAGCTGAACGTGACAACAAAATAGAACTGTATGGAAAGCAAAGCAAGACAGCTAACAATTAGCTCCCTAATTCCAGAATGGACGTGCAGCAACTGCTGACTGGCTTCGGTTTGCTCGTTTGTGAGCATGTGGGGGGTTTGAGCATTTTCAGCTCTCCTTTGAGAGTGAATCCCTGCAGGATAATGAATACAATCAACACCAAAACCTTAAGTAGGGGAGGGTGGGCCATAACCCAGTTTTCTTTTTGTTAAATAATGTGAAAGAATTTGAGCAAAATTAATATTTTTTAATTCAAGCAACGTACACATTGGTTTTGCAGATGAAAACCTACTTTGTTACCAGCATGCTTATGAATCAATGCAGCCAAAAGTGACATTACAACCCCATTAGCAGGGATAATCATAAAGGACGGAGGGGCTAGCTGTAACAGTCACTAAAAAGCAAAGGCATAAAAATAAATTCAGCAAATTAAACATGCTTTACTACGTAGTAAACATGATGTACTAAACAATGGCCTTGATTTTACCTGTACTTTCATGAATAGTTCACAGTTCTTGATGACTAAAAAACAAACTCGCATTGCTCTTTACACTTATAGGCAAACACACCCCTTTAGAGTGTTGGGGCATCACTTTGGAGTGTCTAAGTAGCTGGCTACTGCAATGCATTGTGGAATTTGTTGTTTTCAAAAAGCCAGTACAGACTAGAGAGAGAGAGAGAGGCTAAGATGTTGAATTGTCCCATGATGTCATTGCGCTGGCATAGCGTTTATGTTCTTCAGTGTGGGAGAGAGCTGGTCTGAAGCAGCTGGTCTGGGCCTTGTATCAGCAGGAGAGACGGAGAGATATAATTAAATCTACACAATACGCTCGCTTCAGCCCAAATGCACACTCCCAGAGTAACCTCTAGAACCTTGGAACGCTCAACTGATGTGGCCACCTGCTGTTTTCATCTCATCTCAGTGTGTGTTAACAGAAAGGCGCATAAGAGCAGATGTTCTGTGTGCCTATGTGTGTGTGCATGTACTGGTACTACTGTTAAAGGAAAATTCAATATAAAGTGTCTTAGTAAGATGTTCAGTCCGCTAGAACAGCTTCAGCGCACTTTGACCCGGATTCTACAAATCTCTGGAACTGTACTGGAGGGATGGAACATCATTTGTACAGCTCAGTTGGAGTTTTGATGATGGTTTTGGAGAATGCGGGCTAACACATTGGTCCAAAATCTGCCAAAGGTGTTCAACTGTGCTGACCATGAAGGCCATAGCATATGATGGAGATCATTTTCATACTCATCAAACCATTCAGTCACCCCACATGCCTTGAGGAAGGGGGCATTGTCCTCCTGGAAGAAACCAGGATAGAAATGTTTGCCTCATATGATAAAGGAGATAATCAGAAGAACTTTGTATTGATTTGCAGTGACCCTTCCCTCTTAAGGAAAAAGTGGACTCAACCTATGCCAGTAAACAGCATAGCAGAGCCAACAATGACCTCTCTACGGGATTCAAGACCTTCTTTCAGTGTATGCTGCACATGCACTCTCCCACTTTTGGAGAGTCATGTCCTGCATTGACATTCTCAGGCACATGAAGAACAGGTGGTCATACATCCCACTCACTCTTAACCACAATTTCCATCCCTGTTTACTGATCTTTCCCACAGACCTAAATGCAGATTTTAATCACTATTGAGTAACTATTGATTTCACTATTGAAACACTAGCCAATTGAGCAGTCTTTGTCAGGAGTGACACCACACCTCCAAAGTGGTGGGGTAAAACTTATTCTTTCCAAAACTAAAACAAAACCAAAAAACCCCAGCTAGCTGAGTAATGAAATGCAATTTTTGCCAAAAATTACGTTCTGAGATCCAGGTGCCCAAATCAAGCACAGATCGTTTTTCTTTATTGCTCAAGCTGCAGGAACCTTATAAGCGTTTGCAAAGACTACATTGTTAAAGCAGGCAGACTGCAGACAGTATGGCGCTGATGTGCACTGAGGAAAATGTGTTCTGGTGTTGAATTCCTCCGTGAATTAGTTCGCTGATGTGGACCTGAATACGGGTGGAGTGTTCATTGGACTAAAGAAAAAGTTCAATAGGTCCGCACAACTATGGTATATCTGAAAACAACCTCAGTGAAGCAATATGGCAGTAAGAAATATTCAATCTAACATTTAATAAATTCACGCAGTGTAGTAACATAAACTGTGACTGTGCATTAGTTTGTGTATCTCAGTAAAAAACAATTTTGCCAGATCGGTGAGTTGGAGCTGCTCTCACTGAACACCAACTCATGAAGGCTGTGCTGCTTGGGAAATGTCCTGCCTCCCAGCTGAAATGGAGATTCTGATTGGTTCTGATTGGTTTGACTCTTGTGCCTCTTAGTCACCACTCGGTGTAGTTTACTTTTTTTTTATTAGCGATCTGATCTTAATTAGAAGGTGGTGGGTGTTCAGCCCAGCACTTTGATGAGTGGTGAGTCAAATGCCCGTTTGCCCAGGTTCCAGTGGTCCTGGTCTTTACGACTGAAGCTCCTGCCATCTGTTCTCCAATGATGAACCCTCTTTCAAAGCCACACCTTTCCCTTTTACCATCTTGATCCAAAATCGAGGTCAACTGGGTTTGCTCAGCATTTTTATTCTAGCCACAGGGCATGTTGGGAACTTGCCTAATTGTATCATGCAGTCCACCTGTCTGGAAGCATCTGCACTCATTATGTTTCTCCATTTATTTATTCAGGTTTTTCCTTTGATTTGTCAGCCGTGTGCAAGTGTGTGTACTTGTACTGTCTCTGCGTCATGACTATGCGTGTGTTTGTTTACCTTTAGCTGTGATGGCAGGTTGTTCTCCCAGCAGTAGTTTGATTCTCTTGGCGTGGATCTTGCCCTGGTAGTGAGACTGAGCCACTACAGCTGAGGTGAAGGACATGTTACACAGTGTGCAGCACTTATTCTTATCCACATCTCCCTCCTCACTGCCCTGCAACACACATAAACATACACTATCATTACATAATACTACAGACTTGCACTGACTCGTATTAATTATGTAACAAATTAGCCAAATCATAAAAGCAAAGCCTAACTGGTCTCACTTTGCATTAAGTGGCACTAATGACCAACGATGGCAAAGCGGACATTTCATCGTTTTCAATTGGGCAGTGATGGGAAATTCTGTCATCACCAGCTGTAACGTTCTGCTCACCTCAGCGGTCGGAGGAGTGTTGCACCAAGAGTTCAGTTTTCCCAACTTTTGCCAAAACTGAAAAATGACAATGCTATGCTGCTATGATAGAGTTTGTGATTGTAGCCCTTACATTCAAATACAGATTTTAAATGGCTTTTAAAGTGATATATACAGCAGAAATGCCTATAATATATATATATTATATATATATATATATATACACACTAATTAACTGTGCATACGACATATATAATCTAGAAACTCATTGACTGTATATACAATATATATGATATATACTCTCACTGGTAGGAAGATACAGCCATTGGACATTGGAGATGAAAATTAGAAACTGCGCTGTGGAAATCACTTGATTTTCATGTAAATTATTTAACCAGTGGTCAGTTTCTGGTCAACAGCAGTCCTGTGGTCAGAAACTAACCAACTATTTATGTAGCAGAGGGTGCCAATAAATTGTGCAGCAACAAATGAGCCAGTCTTTAATTGTGCACCAGTGCAGTAGATCTATAATGTAGGTAAACTTCAAGGTGACCAGTGGGTGGAAGTAAACTGGACAGTGAGTGTATGGAAAAACAAGTACGCACACACAAAAGAGTGACTAGTCAAAGACAGAAAATGAAAGAATCTGAAATTTAGTATTGGCTGCAGGGTGATACAAAAGAAACAATGCCTTCCCATTCATTGTGATGTTGATTGCAACCAGCTGGAGAGAAAACACTTTAATGGGGCTTTGTATGAAGGTAGACAATTCATGTTCATGCTGCTCGTGGCTGTTTTGCAAGATTGCATTAGACTGATTAACTCAACAGAGTCAGCAATTGGACAGTCATATAATTCATACAAGCAAAAACAAAACAACAAAAAAACCTACATGCATGACCTCATTATTTTATAAGGGAAGACACTTAAAAAGTAACGTCGCAGTTACCACTGGCAACAACAAAAGCATGATAAGACATGATTTTTTTCAGAGATTAGGCAATATTGAGTAGTATAAGATGGAGAACTTCACAGACCTCATTATGTGCATTCTATACATCAGCAGAGTTTCTTCTGGGGAGTATGAGGATGTTAAGCTTCATTAGTAAAATGAAAGGCACAAGAGATAATATATAGTGTAAAGTGATTGTATAGCATAGTGGATAACACCACTGCCTTGCAAATCAGAGAGCAGGGTGTAATTGCCCATTAAGGTAGGAGATGTTTCTATGTACATTATAAAGCCTCAATTATCCCCTTAAATTCATATCGGTCTGTAATTGAATGAGTCAAGAACACTTCAGAATGCATTCTTTTTGTCCATCAAATACCATGACTAAGTGTTGCATTAAATTATGGAACACATCTTGAAGTCTTAGTGACTTATTAAACTCTTATAATCTCTAAAGCAATAAACTCTGCACTATCTAGAACAGGAATAAATGCTACCAGTTATAATTCACATTCATTAATTTGCTTAACCAAGTGTTTATTGTGCATTTTTACAACTAATAATGCAATTATTATTGATGTTTACATAACTTATTCAGGTCATAAGTCTTCAAATATGTCCTGTACCTGACCAGTGCATAATCACAATTCATCACTGGACATATAGGGCCTTGTTTCCAGACCTGGATTAAGACTAGTTCTGCATTGGATTGAAGACTTCAGTCTATGACTAGGCTTGTTCGCTGAAACCAGCCCATAGTGCACAAGTTGGTAGAAGAAGCCAAAATTTCTCATATTTATATAGTGCACTATATAGGCAGAGGGGAACTATGGATGTTTTGAAGGTCAGTCATAGAAAATGTATCACCAGTGTTAAAAAATGAGTGGTGTTAATCACAGTTATGTCACGCTATATATTTTAATGTTTTTTTTTCCCAATATGTTAAGCTCAGCAAATAGAAACTGTGCCCTACAATTGGCAGGAAAATGTACATTTAAGTTTGTTCATTGAAGAAAATGTGTTAATTTATATTCACTTAAAAAACAAACAAAACATTTGACCATTTTGTATATGACCTTCTGTATAAATAAAGGCTCCTGTGATTGAAAAATCCCAAAAGGCTGAAAATATCACAATTTATTTTGAAATATTTTGATATTTACCTGTAATTTCACCAGGGGATTTCCAATTTGGAAACAATCAAAATCTGTTTTCTCCCTGAATAGGGCATTGAACCCTGCTCCCCTGTATTAATTATTTCTCACTCATAGATTTTGAAAGATAATTGAATGTGTGACTTCAGGGACTAAAGTTCCTAACAGAGCAATCTGGCAGAAAATGTATCATCAAATACCAGGCGTCAAACAGAGAGAGAGAGAGAGAGAGAGAGAGAGAGAGAGAGAGAGAGAGAGAGAGAGAGAGAGACTGTGCTGCTGGTTGAGAATAGCTCATTTGCTTGCTGGTGGGGCGTGATCGCCTGTGATTTATAATGTCTTGAATCGCAAACAGTGTGCCATCGCTGGGCGAGTGTGAGAGGGTCTCTGCTAGCCTCTCCATCTGCTGAGTGTGTCTGAGATACATTGCTCCAACAACACACACACAGAGCACCAGTCAAAAGTTTGGACACAACTGGCTTACTCCTTTAACAGTCAGGAAAACAAAGCAGTCATTTTTTTATTTTTACTTTTTTTTTATTTATTCGTTTAGGAAATTTATAAATACACAAAAAACATAATGTTTTACTTTTTGGGAAAGCTAGCTGTAGTAGTCAGTAGTAAATCTAGAAGATTTTACCAGAGGTGGCAAAGGGGTGGCAGAGAGTTTTGACAGGGTGGCACTGTGAATATGCAAGCGGGTGGGGTGTTGGAGAGTGGCTGAACAGTGGTTTCACTGATGACTGATACCGAAACCACTCTTCCCTTAAAGGCAAACCAGGACAGATGTGATGCACTTACAATAGTGTGTGCAGGGAGTGGGGGTGGGGGGGGGTTGTTGTGGAGAGAGGTTGGACAGTTGTTCTGCCGATCGCGAAACAACTCTCCTCCTAAAGGCACAAACACTGAGTTGGAAGCCAATGACATGGCAAAAATTTTAGGGTGGCATCTGTGGTGGCTGATCAGATTTCAGGACGATGGCACTGGCCCCAAAGGCCGCCCCTTTAAAACAAGGTCTTACATTTGTAGTATGCTAACCAAAGTTCTGCCTCTAATTTATTCTATAATGTGATTCTGTTATTTTATTGTTGATTTTTTTTCATTACCTCAAAGCTATGGGTCTAAAAGGATGTGTAGCTGTCAAGAAGCCCTTACTGAGAAAAGGAAACACACACATCAAACAAGTCCTGACCTCAACATCACTGAATGTGTTTGGGATAATCTGGATTATTGAGAATCAGGAAATGCTAAACCAACGTCTAAGACTGAACTTTGGAAAATATTTATGCAGATTTCTTTGAAAAACTACAGAGCGCTGCTGGTGACATCCCATATAAATAAAAATAATGTCTGGCCATGCCTTATTAACACGTGGGAACAAGATCCTAATGCGTGGCCACAACTTAGTAAGGCATGAGAACAAGATACTTAAGTCATGGCCACGACTTAGTAAGGCATGAGATCTTAATATCTTAGGCATCTTGTTTCATGCCTTACTAAGTCGTGGCCATGACTTAAGTATTTTGTTCCCATGCCTTACTACGTCGTGGCCACGCATTATTTTTATTTATACAGGATGTCACCAAAAAATGGACAGTGAGTCGTCTGAAAAGAACTGAAGCCGTCATAAAGGCAAAGAGTGACAGCTAGGTGTAGAAATGCAAAGAAAGAAGTGAATGTGATCTCTCTCTCTCTCTCTCTCTCTCTCTCTCTCTCTTCTCTTCTCTTTCTTTCTCTCTCTCTCTCTCTCCCTACCTCTCTCTCTCTACCTCTCCAACTCTTTGACTTGTTTATCTGTGATCATCCCTGCAGGGCTCCTGGCCGGGTTTGGTTTGTATTGGTTCAGGGCACTATAAGTGTAAGCAGTAATTACAGTCAGACACGCTTTATTGATAGCAATCACAACATTACCCGCCCGCCGCAACGGCTCCCAACACCCTGAATGAGCCGAGCTGCGCATTTGCATACATTTTTCCACAGCTTTTGTACCGTGAGTGTGGACACGGAGAAGAATGCGGTGATGCACGAGCCACAACGCTGCACACGCATACACACTGTGTAATCCGCTATGCTGCAGTGCAGAACTGATGGCTGTGCACGGTCCGTGAGTGAGTGTGTCTCCCGAGTCACGGGCTGCAGCAGAACATTGTCCTATATACAGCACGCCTGTATGTGTGTGTGTTTGCTTTTGTACCTTTTCCAGGGCGAGTATAAAGTGATTCTTACAAAAGCCCCATGTTGCATAGAACATAATATGGCAAATAGGTACATATATATATATATATATATATATATATATATATATATAGTATATATGGGATATATTATCATTACATATAGACACACGTGTGTGCATATATATATATATATATATATATATATATATATACACACACACACACACACATATATATAGGACATGTGTTTGAGCCCATTCTGACATTCTATAAAAACGTGTGTCTACAAAGACATTCCTCAAGGACAATATCCCACAGTAGCACTCGCCAGCCAACAGCAACCATCAGCACACCTCCCCGCAACCTTGAAACATCCTTCCACACACATACAGCACATACACCACCCATGTCTTACAATGCCATCCTACATGCAGTGATACACAGCACGGCTCCAACTCCAACACATTTTGCCACCGTTCAAAATGTACGGTTGCAGTGACCTACCATTAGAAG